ATTTAAATGACTGTCTTGCAGTGAGTTGGCCAGGAAGACCTCATCTCCTCGTTTACATATATGTAGGCCCATGAGATAAGAGGGAAAAGAGCAATTGCAGTGGCAATAACCAACTGAACTCTTCCACCAGCTGGATTCCTATAAAGACACACACACAAAACTATAAGTAAAAATACAAAACTATAAGTAGATTGCTTTGAAAACAAGTTTAAGCATTGAATTTAGTAAAACATACTAGTTATGATTTTATTAATTTTAAAACAAATATATAACTTGATTGCTTTTCTTTATATATTCTTAATGCAAATCCTTGTTTGTATATGTTTCAAATAGTTTGTACTCTGATGGCTTTTGAGGAACAAAAATTACTGATCAATGAAGCAATGTTAAAATTGAATTTTTCCTAATGATTTTTGTGTCCTATTGAAGAAAACTCCCTCTCCAAACTGTTGAAGACATTAAGCTACATTATTGGTTTACTTTTCATGTTAAATTTGTAATCTACCTGGATTGATTTTTACAAAAGTGGATTGGTGAAAGGGTTGTCTCATTTTCACTTTGTCCACCCATGTATTCTATTGATCCAGTGCTTATAAAGATTGCCTTTCTAAAAAAAAAAAAAAATGCCTTTCTTTGCTACCTTGCAGCCCTGCTTTGTCATAAATCAAGGGTTTCTATACGTATGGATCTGTTGCTAGGTTCTACTTTGTTTTGTTTGTTTACCCTTTGGCCAGACAGATTTATTATCTAAGGGTTTTTATCTTAAATGGAAATTTATAAATGCTTTCTGGATAGATTGAGAAAACAGTTTACCTTCTTTTAGTCTGTTAAGATAGTAGAAAACTTTAGTTTGCAGATATTGACCCACCCATTCCTAGAATAAATCCAGTTTGGTGGCTGGCTTGTATATTGCAGTATATTTCCTTGGCAATGTTTTGTGAATGATTTTCTGTGTGTGGTGCTGAGTGAAATTGTATGATTTCCTTTTTGTTGGTAATGTTCTAGTCAGACTTTGGTATCAGGATCATTCTGCCCTCATTAAAGAACTGGAAAGTGTGTCTTTTTTTTCTGTTTTCTGGAAGTTTGTTAAAAGCTAGAATTACATATTTCTTTCTTAAATTTAGGTAGAATTACACAATTATGCCATTTGCTACGAGTTTTCTTTTGAAAAATTTAAATTATGAATGCACTTTTTTTTTTTTTTATAGTTTGAGCCTATGATGTGTTCTGTCAGTTTTGGTCAATTGTCCATTTTATCTACATTTTCAAATTTATGGCAAAAAGTTGTTTATGACACCCTCGTGATTTTTATAGTATCTATAGTTTATGTGATAATGTTCTCTTTTCCACTTCTGCCATTGGTTGGTTGTATCTCCTTTTCCTGGCTCTTCCTCCTCTTCCTCACTTTTCCTATTTGCCCTTTTTAGTCTTGCCAGGGCTTCATAAATCACTTAGAACCAATAATTGGTGCTTAATTTTTTTTTAAATTTTTGATGTTGATTTTCATTTTGTTGGTTCCTATTTTGTGTTATTTTATTATTTCTTTGAGTTAGGGAACAGTGAGACTTAGTGTAATTTCATATATTGGGCTTACATTTCTATTATTACATCTCCTTCCACTGTTTCCCATTTATTCTCTCTTTCTCCCTTCTCTTTTTCCTGCCTCTTATTCTTATTTCCCATTCTATGATTAACTTATCAATGGCTCATATAAGTAATTACTCTTATTACCTCTTCACAGACAATTCAGGGAGCTTAGACGTCTACCTCCTTTGATACCAACTTAGATGCTACAGTTGTCATGTGTGTTTATTTTTCTATATTAACCCCACAAACCTTATTATTATTGTTTCCTAGAGTCTTTGTTCTTTTTACTCTTTCTTAAATCTCCAAGCTTCCTTCTGAGACTATTTTCCTTCTCCCAGAGAATACCCTCGAGGTTGACAACTCCCCATGATTACACTGGGCCACCTAAGAAACTATGGTGTTCATTAAGTATGAGTGAGCATGAAACTCTTGAGTTGACTATTACTAGTTTTCCTTAGGAAAATGAAAGGCTTCTTCCAGACGATTCCTGTTTTCCTCTGTGTGTCAGTTTTCTCACTTATGTACTTGATTTGACCAACCTTGAAGACATCTGATTTTATGTAATGAGTTGAAAACTTACTTTGATGAACTGTGGCACAGGCTCATCCACACTGTGATAATCACCAGACCACACAATTCCCTATAAAAATAGGATATGTTTCATATTTTGAAGTGGCTGCAAGGGAAATGCCTATCATCCCTTTCTCTCCATGACATTTGATTCTGCTGATTGTTGGGTGACTTCTCCCAGAATACCCAGTAGCTACACATATAGCCATCCATGTCTGGTCAACACTTACAAGTTACTGTTTTCAAACTATTTAAAACTTTTATGAAATTATTTCTATTTTATGAGAAGATATGAGCTCCACAGCTGTCCTCCAACTTATAAGTGGACACATCAAAACAGAAATACAGATAAATCACTTCATAGCACAGGGAGGAATAGTTCCACCAAGAAAATGATCCCAGGTTTAGTAAACTGTTTTTACATTGTTTTAGAGGGTTTAGTGATAGGCAGAATAAACTCAAATATGAGCTCTAATCAATAAATTATTTGAGTATATATTACTCAAATACAGGAATGATTTGTGGTGTATGTCAACACTAATGATTTTGCGATGCATCTATGCTTCTAGAAATACATGTTAAAGCACCTATTTTGTAGAATGTGAGAATGGGGAAAAACATTTTTTAATATCACTGGAAGCCCTACTTTGTTTACTGTATCTGTGGGCTTCAAGTTGGTGAAGAGATTCAACCGATTTGGTTTACATTTCCTTCAACTGACCCAGTTTCCGAGAATTAGGGCCTATAATATAAAGCACCTCATCGATGTTTAAGTTACAGGTCTTTGAATCTTGGTTTGGCCAATGTTAGAAAATACAGGAAAGGGGCATTAGTGAGGTCAGGGACTCACAGGAAGAGGTATTAAACAAGGAACAAATGGTCACAACAGGAATGAGATACATAAGAGCAAGGATGACCACCTTTGAGGTAGCCACCACACTTGCAGATAAGATTTTGGCTTGACCCTGAACTGAATCAGAATGCTGACATTTTCACCTATTAGACTATACTGGGTATTACTGTATCCTTGCTCAGAATATGGGGGCCAAGGTCTAACTGTCTGATGGTCATGACTGCCCATAGTGGACATCGTGGAGTGGGTTAGAGCTGGCCGTGAATCTTTGCCCATCACTTGTCTCCATTTCTGCAGCTTATAAAGGAAATATCTTCCCCGGGAAGCTGGGGGACATTGTGTACAGTTAAGATGATGTTGTAAGGCGATAGATTTTGTAACCCTACCCCATCCCTCCACAGAGCAAGAGTCACTGCTCACCTGCCTTCTTCCTCATGTAAGATGTTTTGTTGTATATGAAGGAAGAGATGGTATGCCAAGCTGATAGCCCAGATCACACAAAAGAATATGTGTATTGCAGAGACACTTTTCCAGATACGGTTACCTAAAAATAAATGTCCTGATGCTGTTAATCATGAAGCCACATCCTGGGGGAAATTAATTTCTTTGATTCTGTTTTCAAATAAAGTATTTTTAAAAAGCATATTGAAGAGCATCCTTTAGAGGTTAAACAGTAATTTTAAACTCAAGTGGACACTGTTTTGGTTGTTCAGCATCTCTGCTTTCTAGATAACTGCCCTTCCCACTCCCCTCGTCCTGGTGTCCCAGGCAGTCACACTTTAACAGTGATAGGGCTAAAGAGATGACAGCCACTCCATCTTGAGAGTTTGGTGGAGTTCTGTTCTTTTGGGCTAAGTGTCATGAGGATGTGAACTTGGAGCTGTGGGGCTACCTCATGGAGGCCTGAGTGAAGTCACGACAGTAGATGGTTGACCAAGAGATGGTTCCCACCAGAGCCGAAGCAAGCACCACCTCTTGCCTTCTCAGTAAATTTTCCATACATCGTCTTTATAGCTTTCATTCTATTTGAATTGAGTCTGCTCTTGCTTGAAACCACCCTTTAAAGATGTAGACAGATTTCTAGGAGCTTTGATAAGGAGCCTGTACATCTTGGGCATGAGGTTCCCCCATATGGGTGGAAAACATTAGTCTTTATCCCAAAGCTGGAGAGCTTCAGGCTCCGTTAGTAAAAGCTGTTTCGAAGAAAATTAACAGTAATCTATCAAGACTAATAGACTCTCTTGATAAAGAAATGCTAGCCAACAATGTAAAATATGTTTTTTCTCCTATAAGACACTGTTGTATTCAATTTAAGATTTGTTAAGAATTTTTAGGGCTGCAAAAGGTGGAGAGCTACATTTTTGCCTAGCATTGAGGTAGGTAGCCTGTGGGCAATACAAACTGATTGTTTTAAGTTAACTTGTGAACTGTATATCCACCTGGGATATAGATGTCAGAAGTCCAAGGAGCAGGTTATGGAACAGATACATGATACACCTGGGATCTGCAGCCACCCATTCATACACCAAACATCACTCATCTATTGTATGACTTGCCTTACTTAAGCTAGGCTGTGCACAGGTGGATTAGACATGATCCTGCTTTTAAGAGGCTTACACCTTGGAGGGGTGGTATACAGAAAAGCATGCAGTAATCCACCATGGCTTCTACAGTAGCACCTAGGGAGATTAGAGAGGGCAGCATGTATTGAAAAATTTAGAATTTTGTTGTAGACAATTTCTGTAAGTAGCAGTTCATATGCATAGATGTAGAATGATGAATGGGAGTATACTGGTCTAGAAAGAAACTGTGAAGATGTCAATGTCCTAGAAAGAATTTGTGAAGAGTCAATGTATAATAGACCTTGCCACTAAGGATGAGGACACAAGGTTAGCTTTTTGGTTGCTGCTGAGTTTCTATTAGTTATGACTTAAATCAATGCAATGACTGAAATCATCTCCTGGGTAAACTGCATGATGACTATTCCACATCAGCATTAGAGATCTTGTGTCAAGACCCTGTGAAGTTTTCCTGAAGATGGGTGAGGATAATCTGGATTAGAAATAGTGTTCCCTTATTAAAAATGAGGTGAGGGCCCTCCCTGGTGGCGCAGCGGGTTGAAGCACAGCACTGAGAATCTAAAGCCGCTTCCACATGAGTTCAATTCCCGCCTGCCCTGGAGGTGACCACATGGTGTGGCAGACCTCTCCTGACCCACCCGCTGCTCCCCTCAGCAGTGTACTT